TATATATTACCCGTTGTTACACCTGAAATTGGCTGCAAACGCTTGTAAAGTAATCAAAACATCGCGAAATATTTTCGGTGATATTGTTAGATTTTACTACACTGTCTGTTCACTGCAATAGCTCGACAAATTCTAACAGATTTTACAATTGTTCCATATTGTAAATCTGTAGACTGGTATATGTATAACAAATATATCTCTCAGCTCTCGCAGATAATCGATTTAAGATATGAATATGAATACGTACAAATGAAGATATGTACGACCCAAGCCTCAAGGTCAAAGGTCAAGCCTCACAATTTTCGTGGGTAAAGCTGTGATTGGCTAATTTTGAGGAAAGGAATTCTTGGCCAAAGTAAGCATACCTTACGTGAGGGCACAGCCCGCTAAGTAGGTATGCGTAGAAAACTAGACAAACATTTGCATGCAGTGAAATCGTTTCCGTGGACAGAGCGTCAAACTGACAAAATTGGAAACGACATTTTAGAAACGCTCGGAAACGTTACAGTGTGCACATCTAGTCTAAAATGCACCAAATCTGCGACACGGACGCGACTAAAAAACAGTCGCTAATAATGGGAGACTACACACGTAAAAACGCACAAGTTGTTACAAGTCTGCAAACAAGCTGTTACACGTCTGTTCACAAGCTGTCAACAAGTTGTGCTCGCACTGCTTGTTCCCAGTTTGTTGTAACAAGTTTGAAACAAGCTGTTAACAACTTGTAACAAGCTTGATGCCATTATCAGCCTTGTTACAAGATTGTGCTAACAAGTTTGTTACAGCCATGATATAACAAGGATGTTACAAGGTTGTCAACACAAGATTGTAACAATCTTGTTATATCAAGCATGTCACAGACTTGTCAGAACAACGTTAGTAAGTAAGTAAGTGAACTTTATTTAACCACGGTAGACTCATCAGGATTTACAATAAAATAGACAAGGGACATTACAAATAACAAAATATGGAAATACATTATTAATACCTGTTTTCCATGATTGCCGTGCATTATTAACTAATAATGTAGATAGGAGTAAAAATATTAAAATTATCGAATGAAGTTGCTACAATCAGCCTTGAATTTACGTAAAGAGCTAGCCTGCCGTAATTCTATAGGAAGAGAATTCCACAGTACCGCACCACTGTAACTAAAACTATTTTTCAAATAGTTTGTATGCGGTTGTGGTATCGCTAGTTTGCCGGTGGTGTCTCTCAACGTATAATTTGTAATGTTACTGCGATCAACAAACATTTCGGAGAGGTAATCTGGTGCAAGGCCATACACAGATTTATATACCATGATAGCTTTGGCAATCTTACGCTGAGATGCAAGATTTTTCCAACCAAGTATTTCAAACAGATAATCGGCATTTGTATCATAACTGGATGACGTCAGTACTCTTGCGGCACGATTTTGTAGTTTTTGTAGTTTATCCGCACGAGTACTCCCGCAACTATCCCAGATAACTGAGCAGTAGTCGAAATATGGCTGGACTAGACAATTGTAAATCAGTTGCATTGTGGAAGGTGAAACAAAAGGTCTTATGCGCTTTAAAGCACCTATGCCACTAGCAACTTTTTTACACAATTTTTCAATGTGAACATTCCAGGACAACTTCTCATCGATATGTGTGCCCAGTGACTTTGTGTGAGAGACTTGCCTAACCGGAACGTTGTTAATTGCCAAAGAAGGAGTTGCGTGAAAAGTATTTATCCTTTGATGGGAGCCAATCAACATGAATTCAGTTTTAGTTTGATTTAAAGTAAGCCTATTTGCTGATAACCATTCACTGACATGGGCAAGATCTTCATTAAAGTTATGATTGATATCGTAAATATTATTACTTGCATATGTCAAATTAGTGTTATCATCAAACATACGTGCACGGGAATGTACAAGACAATTAGGCAGGTCATTGATATAGATTAAAAATAGAAGTGGACCTAATATAGTTCCCTGGGGAACTCCACATCGAAGAAAATGATTATTCGAAGAATGACCATTAACACAACACATTTGTTGACGTTCACTAAGATAAGATCTAAACCAATTTCCAGCTACTCCACTGATGACATATGCATTAAGCTTACCTAACAAGATTTCGTGATCTACAGTATCAAACTGATGCCATATGCATTAAGCTTACCTAACAAGATTTCGTGATCTACAGTATCAAACTGATGCCATATGCATTAAGCTTACCTAACAAGATTTCGTGATCTACAGTATCAAACTGATGCCATATGCATTAAGCTTACCTAACAAGATTTCGTGATCTACAGTATCAAACTGATACCATATGCATTAAGCTTACCTAACAAGATTTCGTGATCTACAGTATCAAACTGATGCCATATGCATTAAGCTTACCTAACAAGATTTCGTGATCTACAGTATCAAACTGATGCCATATGCATTAAGCTTACCTAACAAGATTTCGTGATCTACAGTATCAAACGCCTTCTTGAGGTCAAGAAACAGGACAGCATTTATGTTTCCATGATCTATATTATGAGCCCATTCATTGGTGGCCTCAAGAAGAGCAGTGACAGTTGAGTGTAAACCACGAAACCCTGACTGACAATTAGTTAGGAGTTTATTTTCAGATAGATATAAATGTAACCGGTCATAAATTATCCTTTCAAAAACCTTAGCCACAACAGGGATAATGGAAATCGGACGATAATTATCAACGCAATTACGTTTCCCTTGCTTGTGAATTGGTACAACTTTTGCGCATTTCCACTCATTGGGAAATATGCCTGTGATAATAGAACGATTAAAGATGAGACTAAGGTGTTCGGCGATTAAATCAGGGCACTCTCGAAGTAATCTAGCGGAGATTTTGTCCAAGCCAACTGCTTTTGACCTACTTAGTTTGGACAAAAGTACAGAAACTGTTAAGGAATTTGTTTCTTTCAACTGGAACGTCGTATTAGTATTTTGACCAGATAAATATTCGTGGTAGGACCGGTTGCCTTCATTGAAGTCTATGTTATCCGCAAGTTTGGGGCCGATGTTAGAGAAATATTCATTAAATGCATCAGCGATTTCATTAGAATCATTAATTAAGTGACCGTTCAAATTAATTTCGGTAATTTGAGCAGTTTTTCGATTCTTAGATGTAAGTTCGTTGATAATATTCCAAGTCTTTTTAGGGTTTCCTTTATTTTCGCAGAAAGCATTTTTGAAATAAGTTTCTTTAGCACGAAAGGTTTTGTGATTAACTGAATTACGCATTTTCTTAAATGAAGACCAATCCTGAGGATCGTTGGAACGAATCGCTTTGATTTTTTGAATATCTCTTTTGTGCATTTCGTCCTTCAGGTGAGAGGTAATCCAAGGCGATTTAGAAGCCTTGACACGTTTTGTACAAAGTGGGGCATGTTTATCGACAACAGAATTGAATGTAGTTTTCCAAGCATGCCACATATCATTAGGATTTTCAAGTTCTATAATTAGGCCGTATTCTGAAGTCGATTATCGTTCAAAAAATATAAACTTTACGGGGTCTACTTAAAAACAACTTAAATCTATAGATTTTTACCTACTGAATACAAATATGCTTGTTGGCACCTCTGAAATCCTGCTGTTTTTTAGTAAAACCCCTCGAAAGTTCGAAATTTTTTACTCGTGTTTTGATGTCCGCCATCTTGGATTTTATTGTATGCGCACGCGCAGTTGCTATGTTAGAGGGGGTATCCGCTGACAATCCCGGCTCATAAGTACTTACAGGCCTTGTAAAATGCCGGTCCCTTTACTGTTTTAAAAATACTAAGGCGTTTTAAAGAAATAGGAATGTTTTCATAAATCTTTTTAACCTTTTCGTTCGGAAAATTTCGAAGATATCGAACTTTGATGGCCAGCAAAATCATTTAGTGCGCTTGACTGATACGTTTACCGCATCATGTTTAGGGTTTAATAGCGCATTGTGGTTAAGATTTGTGTATTTAGTAGGAAAGTGCCTTAGAGTAAGGTTAACGCATTGAGGTTAGGATTCGAGTATTTGGGTAGCACATTATTACATTTTACATTATGCACGATAGACGCAATGAACATTAAAATATACTTTTTGGTGAATTTGTTACATGCAAGTCGCGTTCTTTCATCGACTGGTTAATAAAAATCGCCCGTTGTATTTTTATAAGTGATATGGAGTTCAATTTAACTGCACATTCTACATTTGTTCGTGTCGTGTGTATTTTAAATAATTCTTTTTTTCAAATTCCGAAAACTAACTTGTTTTCATACCTTCATTCTGATAAATCATCAAACATATTGTCATCATCGTCCCAGTTATAATCATTTTCATCGTCATTATCAGAAGAATCAGATTCATCTTCTCCATCCATTATTTGTGGATTGTTTTGGCACTCTGAGCAGGAACACACTTCAGTACACTTCAATCCAGATTTCAAGCAAGAGCATCTTTGGGTCTTACATCCGGTTTTACATTTGCACTGCACAAATTCTAGAAGGGACTCCGGAGCTGATGGACAGGTCATCCACAATATATGTAATTGCCCATCTGATTCCAATTGCCACCCATTACCCACAGCAGATGGAAGCTGTAACATTGGAGATAAACAACGATTCCACGAAGCAGCTTGGAAGTTGGATCTAGCAATATGATGAAACAGACAGTCACTATTTGGTGGTAGCGCATCATCAGAACACTTTCCTGCTTTAAAAAGATTATATCTGCACTCGTCAACACTTCGTGAGCAGTCATCGCCATACAGTAAACATATAAACTCGTTCAGGAGGTCTACCAGGTCATCATGGATGGGCAGATTGCCAAGCCTGGAGAATATTGCACAGAATTCTGGATGTTGCATGAGGACCTTCCACGGTTTTAACTTCCCTTTACCAAGAAACGCACTTGTTGTATCACATCCTACAAAGAAAAAAATAAATAAATATTTTTTAAAGTTATCTTAAAATATTCAAATCAATAAAGAAAAATACCTGAGAAGGCGTGGAATCCTGGCAGGGATGCGCA